TTTTATGCCTTTTGAATTTTTGATGTTATGAAAAACTGGACACTTTCAGTATGTCCAGTGTTGTAACATTGGACACTGGGTTCTTCTCTCCTCATGGTTTACTGTTGTCTTTTCGAGGGCTACAGTCATCTCTTAGAATTTGCTTTGCTAACCTGTTTTTGCAAGGATTGTACTGTTTGTCATGTGTGGGTCCTAAAATTTTGTTGTCTTGTTCAGTGGTGATCTTCCAGGTTTCTTTTGCTAATGGAAACAAGTAATTTCTGGGGTTTTTTTTGGCAGATTGTTAGCTGAGGTACTTCTTCAAAAATTAGGCAGGCTGCCTACAGCTTTGTCTTAGTATTCACTTTGTGCTTGCATGGAGAGCAAAGATCACCTAGAATTGAAAGCCTGTACTCCTTAGTTCTTCTCTAAGAATCCATCCAGCCCTGGGCATTCATGTAGTACTCTCCATTTCCTTGCATATGTGATACCTCTTTAAAGTACTTATTCCCCAAATAGCTTTCTCCTCCCCCTTTTTTAATTTAAGGCTTTTTAGATTGTTTAATGCTTATGCAATCCACTCTCTTGCCCCAGACAGCTACTTGTATCACTGTGTGTTTAAATGCTTTTGAAAGATAATTGTTTCTCCAAAAAAAGAAAAAGGAAGCTCTTCCGAAAACTCTGCTACAGTTTTAGAGAACAGGTCCATGGTGTTCTCTTGGGCACTAGCAAGCCACACCAGTAAGTTGGTCTGCTGTCCTTGTGGGCTATGGAGTTGGCATATGAGTAAGCAAAAATACTACTGTGCTCTCTTATCAAGTATAATAGACGTCTTTTAGGCACTCCTCTCTTTATCATAAACTTTTATTAGATTCCAGATGTTCATAAGAGATGAGCTTTGTTGTTTTTTGGCCAAACTAAGAGTTGTTTCTGTCTTCCCTGGTGGTTCAATGGTAAAGAATCCACCTGCCAATATAGAAGATGTGGGTTTGATCCCTGGGTCAGGAAAATTCCCCTGGAGAAGAAAGTGGCAAGCCACTCCAGTATTCTTGCTTGGGAAATCCCATGGACAGAGGAACTGGGTGGACTATAGTTCATGGGTTCCCCAAAAATCTGGATTTCATTTAATAACTAAAAAACAACAAAAGTTCCTTTACTGGAGGGCCTAATTTTTTAGGTTTCCTAGTCCTCCATTTTCCATGACATCATTTCTTTCTTTTGTTTTTGAAAAATTGATAATTCAATTTTCATGATTTTTTCCACTTCACATTTCAAACAGTGCTTCTCTGTCTTTCAGCTTACATTGTTGGAGTTGGTGATGGACAGGGAAGCCTGGCATGCTGCAGTCCATGGGGTCGTAACGAGTCAGATACAACTGAGTGACTGATCCCATGGACCCCAGCACTCCAGGCTTCCCTGTCCTTCACCATCTCCTGGAGTTTGCTCAGACTCATGTCTATTGAGTCAGTGATGCCATCCAACCATCATCCTCTGTTATCCCCTTCTCCTGCCTTCTCTCTTTCTCAGCATCAGGGTCTTTTCCAGTGAGTTGGCTTTGCATCAGGTGGCCAAAGAATTGGAGCTTCAGCTTCAGCATCAGTCCTTCCAATGAATATTCAGGATTGATTTCTTTTAGAATGGACCTATTTAACCAGCTTACATAGATAGTTTCTACCAAGAAGTCTGATCATAATTTTTTGTTTTTTCTCTGTGACGAATTATGTTTCTTTTGTTTCCTTTCAAATTTTCTTCATATTTACCAATATTTATATTTTAGAATATTTGTGGGAATTCTCTGATCTTTCTTCTGTGTTTTAAAATCTCAAATTACTTTTGGAAAGCTCTTTGCTACCTCTTCAAATGTTTGTTTTTGCCTTGATGTTTCTTTCTCCTTCTGAATTCTAGTTATGTGTTATTCTGTTAGGTATTGTGTCATGGCCTGTCTTGGATGCCCTGTTTTGTCTCACTCTGCTACTTTTTTTTTTGTTTAATAAACTTTAGTTTTAAGATAAGTTTTAGGTTCACAGCAGAATTGAATAGAAGTTAGAGAGATCCCGCATAACTCTTATTCCCATATACAGATAACCTCTTCCACTATTAACATCCCACATCACAGTGATCCATCTGTTACAATCAGTGAACCTACGTTGAGATGTCATTATCACCCAGTGTTTGTAGTTTACATTAGGGTTCCCTCTTTGTGTTATATATTCTATGGGTTTTGTTTTAAATGTTCAGTTTAGATGTACCCATGATTCTAGTATCATACAAAATAGATTCTGTGCCCTAAAAATCTTTTGGTCTTACTTGTTCATCTTCCCTATCCAATAATGTTTGGCCATCCCTGATATTATTACTGTCCTCATAGTTTTACCTTTTCCAGAATGCCATGTCATTCAAATCATATAGGGTGTAGCTGTTTCACACTGGCTTCTTTTAGTTAGTAATAGGTATTTGAGCTTCCTGCATGTCCTTTCCTGGTTAGATAGCTCATTACTTTTACGTGTTAAGTAATATTCAGTGTTTTCTGTGTACCACAGTTTATTTGTTCATTCACCTCTTAAATTACACCTTTCTTCTGTTTTGGCAGTTTTGAATAAAACTGTTCTAAATACCTTTGTGCTGGCCTTTATGTAGACATAAATTTTTAGTTTATTTGGGTAAATACAAAGGAGTGTGATTATTGGTAGTACTGGTAGTTGGTAGTACTATTGATTGTAGTCTGTGTATTCTGGCATACTCATTTTTTTCTAAAGTAGTTTTCAGAGGACCTAAATAGACATTTTTCTGAAAAATATACACAGATAACCAAAATCTACATGAACAGATACTCAATATCACTAATCTTCAGGGAAATGAAAATCAGAGCCATAATGATGTATCCCTTCACATCTATGTGAGGATGTCTTTGCTCAAAAAGCTAAGAGAGATATTCTGGTTGAGGATACAGACAGAACAGAAGCCTTGTTCACTGTTGGTGGAAATGTAATTTGGTACAATCTTTAGAAAACAAATAATTAAAAATAAGACTATTGTATTATATATATTGTATATATTGTAATATATATATATTACATATATTGTAATATATATATATATTATATAATATTATATAGCCATCCCACTTCTCACTATATATCCACAATAAATGAAATCATTATCCCAAACACAGATGTGTTTATCCCACGCTTACAGCAGCATTTCAATTTGCCTTGATTCATGGACCTAACATTCCAAGTTCCTATGCAATACTGCTGTTTACAACATCGAACCTTGCTTCTATCCCCAGTCCCATCCACAGCTGGGTGTTGTTTTTGCTTTGGCTCTATCCCTTTATTCTTTCTGGAGTTATTTCTGTACTTATCTCCAGTATCATATTGGGCACCTACCGACCTGGGGAGTTCATCTTTCAGTGTCCTATCTTTTTGCCTTTTTGTACTGTTCTTGGGGTTCTTAAGGCAAGAATACTGAAGTGGTTTTCCATTCCCTTCTCCAGTGGACCACATTCTGTCAGACCTCTCCACCATGACCTGTCTGTCTTGGGTGGCCCCACACCGCATGGCTTAGTTTCATTGAGTTAGACAAGGCTGTGTGATCAGATTGGCTGGTTGTCTGTAATTCTGGTCTCAGTATGTCTGCCCTCTGATGCCCTCTCTCAGTGCCTACCGTTTTACTTGGGTTTCTCTTACCTTGGATGTGGGGAATCTCTTCATGGCTGCTCCAGCAAAGCGCATCTGCTGCTCCTTACCTTGGATGTAGGGTAGCTCCTCTCGGCCCCCGCCCCGACCTCGGACGTGGGATAGCTCCTCTCAGCCACGGCCCCTGACCTCGTACATGGGGTAGCTCCTCTCAGTCACTGCCCCTGACATCGGACGTGGGCTAGCTCCTCTCGGCTGCGCGTATTAAAAAGCAGAGACATTACTTTGTCCACAAAGGTCTGTCTAGTCAAGGCTATGGTTTTTCCAGTGGTCATGTGTGGATGTGAGAGTTGGACTATAAAGAAAGCTGAGCCCCGAAGAATTGATGCTTTTGAACAGTCCTGGGTGTTCATTGGAAGGACTGTTGTTAAAGCTGATACTCCAATACTTTGGCCACTTGATGCGAAGAGCTGACTCATTGGAAAAGACCCTGATGCTGGGAGGGATTGGGGGCAGGAGGAGAAGGGGACAACAGAGGATGAGATGGCTGGATGGCATCACCGACTCAATGGACATGGGTTTGGGTGGACTCTGGGAGTTTGTGATGAACAGGGAGGCCTGGCGTGCTGTGGTTCATGGGGTTGCAAAGAGGTGAACATGACTGAGCAACTGAACTGAACTACAGCAGCATTGTTTACCATAACCAAAATATGGAAACAGCTTTATGTGTCCATGGACTTAACGAATAGAGAAAACCTTGTTGTCTCTGTGTACACACAGTGGAATATTACTCAGTCTTCAAAAAAAAAAACAAAACTGATCATTAGACAACTTGGATTAACCCGGAGGGCATTATACTAATGAAATTATCACCACAGAGAAAGGCAAATATCACATGAAATCACTTATATGTGATATCTATAGAGCGGGAAGATTCATGGAAAAAGTAGTGGAAAAAGTAGTTGCCAAGGGTAAAGTGGTAGAAATAGGGAGCGATTGGTGAAAGGGTACAAATTTTGTTCTAAATGAATAGGGCCTGAAGATCTAATGTATAATAAGGTGACTGTAGTTGATAACACTTTCTTATATAATTGAAATTTGCTAAGAGAGTAGAATTTATTAAATGTTTGGGGCAAACAAAGAGAAAATATGTAAGATGATGGATGTATTAATTAACTCAATGAGGGAAGCCCTTCACTGTGTGTCCATATATCAAATTATCTTGCTGTAACTGTCTTAGAGTTTGTCAACTATACATCAGTAAACTGGAAAAATAATTTCTTTCTTTCTTTTTTAATTAACAGGATTACCTTTGAGGTTATTTTGAAAATTTTGAGTTGTACAGCACTTCTTTTGCTGCGTTGTGGACAGATCTTTGCAGCAATGATTACTTCAGAGTTACCAGTGTTACAGTAAGTATTACAGCTTTTTACTTTTTTAAATGCATATAACACTTCTGTACCAAAATACTTTTATTACTGAGACATGAAATGTGTTCTTTGATAGTTGGGGAATATGTTTGAAGTAAAAGAACTATTAGAGGGTATAATTATTATATCCATCTATAGCCCTTGCATTGTAATGTAGTATGTAATGTCCATGTTACTGAACAAAGAAGTTACTGTCTTATTTTAGTATTCAGCAGAAACGATGACTGTGGGCTGGTTTGACATGGCAACTTCCTTTGTAAATAAAGTGTTAATGAAAGAAAATCACACTGACTCCTTTGCAGAATTGTTTATGTGCTAGAGAAAAAATTAACCTGCAAACAGAAATATTTCGTTTGGCTATTTATAGACAAGAGTTTGTAAACCTCTATCCCATATCACCCTCTCACCCCATGCCAGAATTTCTTTTCCCTGAGATTGAGATTGTAATTGATGAGTCCTTGGCATTTCTGGTGACATCTAATTAGATTTTGTTGGAGTTATGGGACACATCTAGAATTTGATTTTGATTCTCTGTAAAATGTGATCATGTAATGGCAAATACTTTTCCCTTTATATGTTTCATTAAGCTCCAATGTAGGAATCTGTATACTCTGATTGTGTACGATAATAGCAGTTTAGATATAATGAAAGTGACCAACAGTTTACATAATTATTTATATATTTTTATAGTTTTAGATCATTTATATGTGTTTTTTCTAAGAAACTGTAGTCTCCTTCCAGTTGGTCTCCTGTCCTTCCGTTTTTCCTCCAGAGTTTTAAGACAGAATGCTATCCAAATTACTTTACATGCTAAAAGCCATCAATACCTACCCTGCTTCATTTGTCTAAATATGAAAGTGTTAATTGCTCAGTTCTCTGTAACCCTCAAGGCTCCTCTGTCTAGGGGATTCTGCAGGCAAGAATACTGGAGTGGCCAGCCATTCCCTTCTCCAGGGGATCTTTCTGACCCAGGGATCAAACCCTAGTCTCTTGCATTGCAGGGAGATTCTTTACTGTCTGAACCACCAGGCAAGCTTTGCTATTAATTAAACATTATTAAATATTGCCAATTACAACATATTATTTATTCCACCAAATGTTGTAGTAGAGCTATGCTGGGCTTTGAGGAGAATGAGCAAGTGGAAAAGACCCACTCTGTCCTTGCTGCCATGAAGCTTATATAGATCTATATTAATCAGATAATCACCATCATATAGATTTAAACTGCCATTGGTGCTTTGAAGGTAAGCTAGAGGGTTTTATTAGAATTTTAATATGCCTTGAAGTAGTCTACTTTTCTAAGGAAGAAGTGTAGAGAGGTAGGAGGAATCATGGTAGGCGGAATCACATTGTGTTTGAGGGACTGAAATAAAGCTGTGATTTTTCTTTTTTCAGGATTAAAGATGGAGAATGGGGTGAGATATGGCTTGCAAGTAGAGTAGGGCTGTATTGTATAGGACCTGCTAAGTCTTAAATTAAGAATTTTTTAGGTTGTTTTCCCCTGGAAGTAGAAGGAAATCATCATAGAGTTTTAATCATGAGAAAGATAGAATAAGACATATACTCTGAATATCATTCTTAGCACACAGTATAGTGATTTGATTGGAAAAGGCAACAGAAGAAACGAGGAGTCTTATTCAGAGAAAGGTGTTGTGGTGTCGAGGCCAGAGATAATAACAACTTGAGCTACAATGATTACAGTGGAAAATAGAAAGAGTAAAACAGAATTTAGAGAGTTTTCAGGGAATTAAAAAGAATGACTTTATAAGGTTGAATCTGATTTTTGTATTCTCCTTATTCATGTCCAGTATTCATTTGCAGGCTTTTTGGTAGAGCAATTTGGTTGAAGTTTGAATTTGCATAGCCCTTGATCCAGCTTTCTGTGTCTATTCTAGAGAGGTATTTGTTGATGTGTAATAAGAGTTAACGTGCAAGGACAGTTGTTTCACCTCTGTTTGTAGTGGTTAGAAACTGGAGACAGTCTAAGTACTCACAGATAAGGAACATATTATTGAGTAACATTTAGGAATCCTTTGTAGGAAAATTCATATTAATTTAAGTTTAAAAAATTATATAGTCGTTGCTTTGTATTTATGTATATTTATGCCAGAACATAAGTATTTATGACAGTATTGATAAAACTTAATAATCTTGTTCTGCAGATTGAAATTCAGTGTTAGGGTATAGTGGAGAGAAACTCTTCCTTGTATTCTTACATCTTGCTTGAAATTAAAAAACATTTATATATCATGTATTCTAATAAATAAAATACATATACTGATTGAAGTATGTTAGTTGTTTGTTGGTAATAGCTTTCATCTTTTAAGCTGGCTGAAGTGTGAAGAATTGAAAAACAATTGTACTTTTTTCTGTTGTCAGTAAACTATTGCTGAAGGATAAATTAATTTCACTAATGGGACACATTTTGTATCCTTGGAACAAATTTGCTTTTGTAGTTGCCTGGAGATTTCTATAAGCATCAAAAGTACTAGTGTATTCTGTCCACATAAGAGAAATACTAAACATAATATTTGCATTCTGCTATCCTGCCTTAGAGATAGAGAATTCGCATTTACCTTGAGATCTAAGTGGACCCTACCACTTAATAGTTGTGTGAATATGAACAGGATTGTCAGGTTTTGAGATCTTTCATTTCCTCATCTGTAAAACTGAGACATCAGTATGTTGTCTTAATAAGATTTTGTGCACAGGTAATGTCTATAAACCGGCACGCAGTATATACTAAATTGTCTGTTTGGATTGTAGTGAGGAGAAGCATCAGTATGATTTATTATTCTTAATTAAATCAGTGATTGAAAGACTACTGATACTGTTTCAGAAACCTGTTTTTATAAATATTATTGGACCACAGCAATATCCATTCACTTATGTATTATGAATGGCCATATTCATGCAAGTTGAGTATCAGATACAGAGAACTTCATACCATTCAGCCTAAAATATTTGCCTAAAATATTTACTGTATAGCCCTTAAAGAAAATGTTTCCTGACCCTTGGACTAGATCAGTATTTATAGTTTTAAATACCAAGTTGCCTTTGAGCATTTGCAGACAAAGAAGGAACGTGATAATGAGAATATTAGTGACAGTAGTGTGTTGAGTGGCTTGGGCAGGGAAATGTTAGAAGCAGAGAGATAAGTTGTGATTAATTCAAGAAGTTGTGATTATGGTAGTAATCATAAAAAGAATGAGAGATGGAATTAGTATATAGAGGATGACTCAGGAAGATTTTTAACTGATGGCCTAAGAGGAAGACTGATGTGGTTGTAGGTTTGAATAAGACAGGGTAATGGTGACAATAATAAGTTTATAAAACAGTGCAAATTTGGGTATTAATAAATTAGTTATTTAGTGATATTGCTGTGAGTAGAGAGCTAGAATTAAGTCATAATTGGACTTAATTTTATGTGTGTTATTTGGTGAATTTGTGATGGTATGCAAAGAAGTATGTTACACGTGCAGTTGAAAATCTTGAATTACAGATAGGTCTAGTGATAATATACTGAAGTCATTTGCATAAAAGTTGCATAAAAGTTCCATATCAATTGTATGAGATCTCCAAGAGAGGTTAGTTTAAAGGGGGAAGAGCAGATACTAATGCGATGAGCTTCAAGGGATCAAAACAAAGAGAAAGGAACTAAGAGCCTTCAGTGGAGCAGTTTCAGAAATACTAAGTTGTGAGTTGAGTTTTCCATTTGCTTTGTACCCTTCTTCTTACTTGTAGTTTTATATAGATACAGTGAGTAATATAGAATTCAGTGAAGATATTTTTGTTAATATCATCCATGTGTTTTTAATGCCATGCTAGGGCCAGTCTGTATTGGCCTGGAGAGCTGAATATTAAATTTCCAGGAATTTTGTGACCTTGTTAAATATAACATGCATGCACATGTGCGTGCTAAGTTGCTTCAGTTGTATCGGACTCTTGGCAACCCTATGGATCGCTGTAGCCTTCCAGACTCCTCAGTCCATGGGATTCTACAGGCCTGAAGACTGGAGTGGGTTGCCGTGCCCTCCTCCAGGGTGTCCTCCCTACCCAGGGATGAAACCTGGGTCTCTTATGTCTCCTGCATTGCAGGCGGATTCTTTACCACGGGCGGCCCTGGGAAGCCCATATATAACATAACTTTCATGGACACTTAAATTATGCAAGCTTAAAATTAAATAAATCCTATTAAAAATAAAAGTAAATGCTCAAAACTCATCACTTCCCAATTATTTTACATCTTACAAGTTTCTATGCTCTCTAGATTTTTATTTACATCTATGCCATGTATGATGGAAATAACTTTGTAGTAGTGTACTACTATTATTAATTACTTCTCAAGTTTGTATTTTGTGATGTCACTTTGATAGTTTGAATTTGGTTGTGGTAAGAGTATTCACTTTATGAAAATCAGCGAACACTACAAATGAGGACTCAATTTATTGTTTTGTTGTTTGTGGACTCATTAAAGTGATGGAGAAATTGTTAATAATGCGGATTAAACTTAAAGATAAATATCAGGTCTTTAGTCATTATATTATGATACCACAAAGATTTGAGGACATGTCCTTCTAGTGTTCGAGAACTATTACATATGCAATTCAGTAAAGAAGTTGCTCACAACGTGACCAATGAGTGACGTTCCAACAGATGGCTTTGTCATTTCTTTTGCCTTTTGTTCATTAAAGTGCACAAAGGTATCAACTGTCTTTCACGGCAAAAGTCTGTTCATTCATCAGTTGAAACCATAGGTTAGCTAGGGATACAAGAGTTTCACACAATTATCAAAATCATTTTATATGAATCTGTTAACTAGCTGGATGCTCAAAATTCTCATACCAGGCTTCAGAAATAAGTGAACCCTGAACTTCCAGATGTTCAAGCTGGTTTTAGAAAAGGCAGAGGAGTCAGAGATCAAATTGCCAACATCTGCTGGATCATTGAAAAAGCAAGAGAGTTCCAGAAAAACATCTATTTCTGATTTATTGAATATGCCAAAACCTTTGACTGTGTGGATCACAATAAACTGTGGAAAATTCTGAAACAGATGGGAATACCAGACCACCTGACCTACGTCTTGAGAAATCTGTATGCAGGTCAGGAAGCAACAGTTAGAAATGGACGTGGAACAACAGACTGGTTCCAAATAGGAAAAGGGGTACGTTAAGGCTGTATATTGTCAACCTGCTTATTTAACTTACACGCAGAGTACATCATGAGAAAGGCTGGGCTGGATGAAGCACATGCTGGAATCAAGACTGCTGGGAGAAATATCAATAACCTCAGATATGCAGATGACACCACCCTTATGGCAGAAATTTAAGAAGAACTAAAGAGCCTCTTGCTGAAAGTCAAAGAGGAGAGTGAAAAAGTTGACTTAAAGCTCAACAGTCAGAAAACTAAGATCATGGTTCTGGTCCCATCACTTCATGGCAAATAGATGGAGAAAAAGTGGGAAAAGTGGCTGATTTTATTTTTCTGGGCCCCAGAATCACTGCAGATGGTGATTGCAGCCATGAAATTAAAAGACGCTTACTCCTTGGAAGGAAAGTTATGACCAGCCTAGACAGCATATTAAAAAAAGATACATTACTTTGCCAACACAGGTCCGTCTAAGTCAAGTCTATGATTTTTCCAATGGTCATGTATGGATGTGAGAGCTGGACTATAAAGAAAGCTGAGCGCTGAAGAATTGATGATTTTGAACTGTGGTGTTGGAGAAGACTTGAGATTCCCTTGGACTGCAAGGAGATCCAACCAGTCCATCCTAACAGAAATTAGTCCTGGGTGTTCATTGGAAGGACTGATATTGAAGCTGAAACTTGAACATGTTGGCCACCTGATGCGAAGAGCTGACTCATTTGAAAAGACCCTGATGCTGGGAAAGATCGAAGGCCAGGGAAGAAGGGGACGACAGAGGATGAGATGGTTGGTGGCATCACTGACTCAATGGATGTGAGTTTGGGTGGATTCAGGGAGTTGGTGATGAGCAGGGAGGCCTGGCGTGCTGCGGTTCATGGGGTCACAAAGAGTCGGACACAACTGAGTGACTGAACTAGATAGAATTTACAATAAAAAATATTGTGCATTTTATTATTGTTTGTAAGTTGTATGCTCTACTTCCTTTATATTGGTACTGTTTCTAATGACTTATATGCATAGATTTTTGAAGTGCCATTGTTAAACATTTACTAACACACTTTCATTATTTTATGAAATGAGTAAAGTTCCTCCCAAGCCTTTATTTTTTTTATATTGAAGAATTAGTCTTTTGCAGTTGTATTTTGCATTTATATTTTCTATAGCAGCTGCCATTTCCACAGTCATTTCTTTTCTGTATTTCTCTGTTTGGAAAATCATTTTATTCATTGCTATGTGATATTAACCAGGGAGGGTAATATTTTGAATTTGCTGAAGATTTTTTCTGAACATGAAAGTATAAACCACTTTTAATCAGCTATATGTGTACATACAGCAAACAGTAAGAAAGCTAGAGGAACAGAGCTGCATTGTATTATTAATAGGTATGTATATGTTAATTTTTTCACTAAAATAATGTATCATATTTTCTAGAGATTCAACTAATGAGACTACTGCCCATTCTGATGCTGGCAGCGAACTTGAAGAAACAGAGGTCAAAGGAAAAAGAAAAAGAGGTCGACCTGGCCGGCCTCCAGTATGTATATTACTTGTCATCTTTGTTTCTATAATGGTTATTGATAATGAGCTATTTGTTAATTATAATACTGTTAATACTTTTAAAAAGCTCACTGACACATTAGAATGTCTTGGAAACTTTGCTTCATAAATAGGCTTAGCAGTGGTTAGAAAAAGAAAATTTTAATTATAGTATCTTTTTTGCTTTCCATGCCTCTCTTATAAATAAATGGTAGTCCATGTGAAGGGATTGGGAAGATGATTGACATGGAATGATGTGTAGTTACGATTTCCTTGCTTTTTATTTTTAGATGCAGCTCTCATTTCTTGTGAGCTCTTTAAGTATATATTTTTGTAGTATTTGAGTTCAGTCTCAGAATATATTCTCATTTACACATGATCGAGAAGTTTAGAAAAGCTCTATGTATTCTTACTGTATGGTATCTTTATGTCATATGAGTACACAGTCATTTAATTTAAAGTAGTACTGTCAGAGACAGTAGTATCAATGGTATCAGTGGGTTAAGGCTTGTATTATTTTATACTCACCTTTATGAGTATAAAGGTGAGTTGACTTTGTTATTCCAGTTTTAAAATTTTATTTTATAAGAGTTCTTATTATGGAAAAATTTAGCCTCCTCCTATGGAAGTCATAATAGTATAATAAACCCTCCATATAAATCTAAGGTACAGCAGTTATCAAGTCATTGCCAATCTCTTTTTCCTGTGTTATTTTGAAGGTCATTCTGGATAGCATTCCATTTTTTAATATTTCAGAATGTATCTAAAAGATAAGGGCTTCCCTTCTCTCTTTTTTAAACATCACTCCATGACTTAGCAACTAAAGAACAACAACCAGTATCATTCTCATAATGCAAGATGACAATATTTTAGTAAAATCACTAAATAACATGTTTAAAATTTATAATCATCTCATGAATATTATCTTTTAAAAATTAGTTTGTTGGTTTGACTCATGATCTACCTATCGCAATCAGTGGCTATGTTATTTAACCAGTTATTATATATATATGTCCTTTGTAGTGACTTAAAAATGTTTTTTTATGTTAATTTTGTTCTATCGATATTTATCTGTTTGCCACAGTTTCTTATTCGATTCAGTGAAACTCCATAGCTTTTACTTTCAAAGACAGACTAACAACAACAAAGAAAAGGGTAGAAGGATGACTTCTACAGTTTTCTTTACACTTGATTTTATCTTTTGCCTTTATGTAGAGTAAAAAAAATAGTGGAGGAAAAGACATATATTATAAGCACTCTTTATAATCCTTAATTTTGTATAAGTATTTGATGCTATGATATTCCTTTTAAAAACATTTTGGGCAAAGTGAGAGTCTTGTATGTAGAAGCAGTAGACTCTTAGTTTGTCTTACTACCATATGGTTTTTCTTTCTTTTTTTTTCCTCATTTATTTTTATTAGTTGGAGGCTAGTTACTTTATAGCATTGTAGTGATTTTTGCCATACATTGACATGCATCAGCCATGGATTTACATGTGTTCCCCTTCCTGATCCCCCCTCCTGCCTCATACGGTTTTTCTAAGACTTTTGGCAAGTCACATTGCTTTCTCTAGGATTCATTGTTTATAAGTACACATTTTGAAATAAGACTAAAGTTTCTTGAAAATAGTAGAGTAAACTGCAAACATGATTGCTTTCTTGAATTTGTTCCCCTCCAATTAAAATTCTTTACTTAATGATTCAGGTTAAGTGCTGTTTTCTTCAAGAACACCTTTATTTATTTATTTATTTTCCTAAACAGAATTTATCACCCCTTCATCAGTCTGTTGTGTTGTTTTTTATAACCTATTTAGTTTTGACTTGTCTACAGCTATATTCATGTAATGTTTTGCTTTCCTGATGAAAAGGAATCTGTGTATCCAAATGCTTAGCTCTTTTGTGGTTAGAAATAAGATTTTATTTTTAGTGAAATTGGCTTTCCTGGTGGCTCAGACTGTAAAGAATCTGTCTGCAATGCAGAAGACCGGGGCTGTGTCTGTGGGTAGGGAAGATCATCTGGATAAGGGAATGACTACCCCCTTCAGTATTTTTGCCTGGAGCATTCCATGGGCAGAGGAGCCTGGTGAGCTACAGTCCATGAGTTTGCTAAGAGTCTGACATGAGTGAAAGACTAGCACTGACTTTAGGGAAACTGCTACTACATAATCTAATATGTAAATAGTACATGTTCATCCCATGTTTCTAGAATGGAAAAACTGTCAACCATCATAGGATAGTAGCATTCTAGAGACATGTGTTAGACTCTAGTCCTTATATTCACACTCATTAGTCACATAGCTTTTTATATTTTTACCTGACTCAGACCCATTTCTTAACCTTGGAAACAAAAGAGCTGCCTGAGTTTCTCCTCTGGGGTTTGCACTGCACTGATGTTTTTTATGTCATTTAATCTTCACACCAGTATTGTTAAATAGGTCTTGTATGCAGTTTGCAAAATAGAAAACAAAAAAAGAAAGTGGCTGAGATCACATTGTTGCTTAAGGAACAAAGCTAGGATTTAAATTCATAACCTACCTCCCAAACTCTTTCCCTCAAGAATGCCTAAACACCAAGATGTTACTTAAAATTGAGAGGTATAATTGTCAGAAGGATCATATTTGAGTTATGCCACAGTACCTGTTCTGAAGATGGCTTGGGCACTTTCCATCAACTGGCTCCATTTTGAACAGATCTAAGTTTTGGTTGATAAACTCTTTGTTACTGCTCATTCTTGTTAAAAGGACTTCATGGATCTGTGATTTTACTAGTTTACTCAGTGAAATGAAAACATATTGTATAAGGACTTCTGCTTTGGGAAGCATTATTTTCCTTATTTCTAAATTCTTAGTAGACATCTCATTTTTGGTGTTTCTTTTCAGTATGTTATTTCAGAGACTTTTCTTACTGAACTGTTACTTTGCAGATATCCTAATTCGTACTTGTTATTATTGTGGCTGTGAAAGGATGATGCTCTCCAAGAGTTGCACTCAATATGTCAGATGATCTGGAAGACCCAGCAGTGGCCACAGGACTAGAAAAGGTCAATCCTCATCCCAATTCCCAAGAAGGGTAGTGCTAAAGAATGTTCAAATCATAGGACAGTTTTAGTTATCTCCCTTGCTAGTAAGGTCATGCTTAAAATCTTGCATGCTAGGCTTCAGCATTATGTGAACCAAGAACTTTTAGATGTACTCGCTGGGTTTAGAAAAGGCAGAGGAACCAGAGATCAAATTGCCAACATCTGTTGGATAGTAGAGAAAGCAAGGGAATACCAGAAAAAACATCTGTTTCGTTGACTGTGCTAAAGCCTTTGACTGTGTGGATCATAACAAACTGTGGAAAGCTCTTAAAGAGGTGGAAATACCAGACCATCTTACCTGTCTCCTGAGAAACCTGTATGTGAGTCAAGAAGCACCAGTTCACACCCTGTATGGCACAAGTGATTGGTTCAGGATCGAGAAAGGAATATGACAGGGCTGTCTGCTGTCACCATGTTTGTTTATACTCTGAGCACATTATGAGAAATGCGGGACTGAACAATTTACAATCTGGAATCAAAATAGACAGTAGAAACATCAACAGACTCAGATATGCAGATGATACCACTCTAATGGTAGAAAACTAAGAGGAATCAAAGAGCTTCTTGATGAGGGTAAAGGAGGAGAGTAAAAGAACTGGCTTAGAACTAAGTATTAAAAAACTAAGACCATGGCATCCAGCCCCATTACTTCATGGCAAATACAAGGGGAAAGGTGGAAGTAGTGACTGCAGATGGTGACTGTAGCCATGAAATCAGAAGATGTTTGCTTCTTGGCAGTTATGACAAACCTAGACAGTGGTTTGAAAAGCAGAGACATTACTCTGCTGATGAAAGAAAGAAAGTTATGACAAAGCTAGACAGTGTGTTGAAAAGCAGAGACATTACTCTGCTGACAAAGGTCTGTATATTCAAGGCTATGGTCTTCCTACTGGTCACATATGGTTGTTAGAGCAGGACATAAAGAAGGCAGAACACCAAAGAATTGATGCCTTCAATCTGTGGTTCTGGAGAAGACTCTTAAGAGTCTCTTGGACTGCAAGGAGATTAAACTAGTCAAGCTTAAGGGAAATCAAGCCTGCATGTTCCTTGAAAGGACTGAAGCTGCAGCTTCAGTGTTTTGGTCATCTGATATGAACAGCTGACTCATTGGAAAAGTCCTTGATGCTGGGAAAGATTGAGGGCAGAAGGAGAAGTCGTCATCAGAAGAAGAGATGGCTGGATGGCGTCACCGATGCAATGGACATGAACTTGGGTAAACTTTGGGAGATGGTGAGGGACAGGGAGGCCTGCTGTGCTGCATTCCATGGGGTTGCAAAGTATCGGACATGACTGGGCAATTGAACAACAACAATTCAAACAATTATTGATCTCCACAGTAACACTGTATAATATCAGGTTTATTCTACCTCTGTGATTGTATTAGGAATTAATGGACATCGTTTTCTCTGTCTACACCATCTCTAAGCTCATGTCACCCAGATTTATGTCTCCAGCTTGGACTTTACTCTAGATTCCAGACCATATCTAGTATGCATTGAGAATCATCATTTAGCTATTAATGGGCCCAAGATATTTTAAAAAACCAAACTTTCACAATTCCTGTCCCCTGCTCAGCCCTTTTCCATAATGGCAGCTTTGTGCTTCTAGTTGCTCAGCTGTAAACCGTGTAATCATTGAATCTTTCTTTCCCAGCCTATATCTAAACCATCAACATATGTTGTTTAATTCATTTGCAAATTGCATCAGTCATTTTTTTTTACTGTAATGCTGAGTTAAGCCACCATCATGTGCTTTTGTTGAAACCTATCATGTGTGCTCCTTGCCTCAGAGTCCTGTGTCCTCTTTTCAGTGGGGTCTCCTTTATGGATGGTATCTAGAATTGCATATCTTCCCTCCTGCTGCAAGGAACTTTTTTTCCTCATTGCTTGTGTGTGTTCGTATTCTCCCCCTTTTGTCCTC